GGGGGAGCGGCGGCAAACCAGGGGAGAATAATGAATGCGAGGGACGGCCGCGCATCATCAGTGCCTGCCGTTCTGCGGGAATGGGGAAGATCTCAGTAGGAAATCATGATTAGAGATGTGAAAGGCCAAATGGCGAAATCCCAATAGTAACAATGCATCTGTTCGTTAATGTGCGAATATGAGTAATATGAAAATTTAACACAATTATAAGCCCCTCAGCAATCCTGATGGCATAAAATAGATCGTGGTGATCTAATCAGCGCTTCCCCTGTTGAAATACTGTATGTTAACTATTTAAAACAGTATTATATAGACTTTTTTTCCCCCCTTTAAAAAAACCCGTGTAATCGTATTTAATGGATGTACTAACTTAGTTTCAAACCTCTCTTGACTTGAAGTGCAATTTTTACACCAGGCACTTCAACAGAATTTTGATACAGCATCAGCAAACAATTCTCCTAATACTTAAAAAGAACTTTAATTCTGAAAGACAATAGCTTCCCCACCCCTATAGCTTTATGAAGCTAAAGAGCTATATTGAATTACAGCTAGTTTAATTCTATTACATACCGTGTTATCACACTGTACTTACAATAAAATACGCTAGTCATATACTCAACCTATCACATTGCAGTAACCGCTGCTGAAATGCATTATGCACCATATCTTGGAAACAAACATTTATTATGTCATTTATGTACCCCATTAAAAAAAAAAAAGATTTGAAATTTACACACCTCAAATAAAAATAACTATTTAAAAGGTTACAACTGTAGAGCTTCGGTGACTTACACAGAAACAAAGTCATCTTTTGTTCAGGTTTTTTCTTTCAGACCTCATTGGGAAGATGATGCTCTCAAATTAAAGGAAATAAACACTGTATCTTGTTTGCCAAGCACTCGTTCCCTGGATTCATTAGAAAGTCAGTAAAACTTTTAATGCTGGCACATACGATGCGCAGCTTGAAATTGGGAAAGGTGGCCCGCACGCAGGAACTGCTATTCCCGATCCCTACTCCAACACTCACTCTCCCCTCTTGCCTTCACCAGAGCAACGTTCCTACATCCAGAATCCGAGCTGTATTGTGACAGATTAGGGATATGCATCAGGACGATAATCTACGTTAGCATTTCCAAAGAGCTACACACAGTGTGCTCTGCTGTTCTGAGCATCACAGGTACGCAGAACGTCTCCCAGTTCCATCCTCGAGAGGAACCCGGGATTAGCCCCATTTCTTCTTCTGAGCCCCACTTGAGCTAAGAATACCCCCCATTCCCTACTCGCAGTGTAGGTCCTACGGCACGCAGTAAAACAATTCCAAGCGTACCCACAGCCCGGTATGAATACCTCTACAAAGGAGTTGCTCATGGGTTGTTTGTGAACAGTAATTCATTAACGTTTGGGAAACATTTTTGTCCCAGAAACACTACGAAAAGCGTTAAGTGTTGTTGTAGAAGAGGATTATAGGTAGGGCACCAAAGAGAAAGACCGAGGTGGGAAGAATAACAGGAGTCATTAACTAAACACTGGCAAAGAGGAGGCTGACTGAATTAAGAGAGATACAAATTAATCCACAAAAATGATCTCTACTGTCTCCATTCAGCACATTTACCAGTCGTTAGCTCTTCCTAGCGATATTTACGGCGCATTTTGTTATTCTTGTTTCACCCTTGCCTCTGTTGCTTGCATATGCTTCTTCACATCGCTGCGTACGTCAGTACCCACTGGTGAACGTCGCTCCCTCCGACCGTGCCAGCCACGGGGGCAGCAGCCAGCGGGCACC